TATGTGAAGGGCACAGTGAGCTTGAAGGTCACGATGGCGCCGGCGCAAAACCGTGACCAAAAAGTGTCTCGACGGGGAGCGTTTAGCGACGCTGATTCTGCGGTCGATAAGGCCGACAGGAAGTCGATGACCGGCAGCGTACTGCGCCTTCACGGCATGGCAGTGAGTTGAGGCGCGCATAAACAGGGCGGCGTGTCTCTGTCAATGATGAAGGCCGATTTTGTCGCTGTCTCGTAATTGAAGCGCGAAGTGCTTGGCCTCCGCGAGATGCTGAGCGAGATTGGCATTGCACCAGCTGTTCCTATGCCGCTTCAAATCGACAACTAAACGGCAAGCAGCCAGATGGCGAGCGAGGCATCGTCACTACAGGCAAAGCACGTTGATGTTCGCCTACTGTCGGTCAAAGACCTTGGCCGCGTCAGCAAGTTTCTAGGCATATGGTCCGCTTAATGGTGACGGAGGCTACAATATCGATCAGGAGGAGGTGATTGGCGATCTCCTGCGTACCAACGGACTTATGGATGCAAACTCGGTGCGCGCGTTGATTGGTGACGACTGCTATGACGAGAATCTTGACGGAGTAGCGATGCTTGGAGCGTCGAACAAGCGGTCTGGCCCAACGATACGCGAGTTCCAGTCACTCGTGGGCAGCTTGCTATGGGTTGCGCGCTGCAAAAAGCCCGACATCGCCTTGTGCGGTGCATAAGATCACGCGCCAGACACACGCGCCGCGCTTGCATGATTGGATGCTTGCGAAGTGAATCGTTCGGTATGTGAAGGGCACAGTAAGCTTGAAGGTCACGATAGTCGCCGGCGCAAAACCGTGACCAAAAAAGTGTCTCGACGGGAAGCGTTTAGCGACGCTGATTCTGCGGTCGATAAGGCCGACAGGAAGTCGATGACCGGCAGCGTACTGCGCCTTCACGGCATGGCAGTGAGTTGAGGCGCGCATAAACAGGGCGGCGTGTCTCTGTCAATGATGAAGGCCGATTTTGTCGCTGTCTCGGAATTGAAGCGCGAAGTGCTTGGCCTCCGCGAGATGCTGAGCAAGATTGGCATTGCACCGGCTGTTCCTATGCCGCTTCAAATCGACAACTATAACGGCAAGCAGCCAGATGGCGGGCGAGGCATCGGCACTAAAGGCAAAGCACGTTGATGTTCACCTACTGTCGGTCAAAGACCTTGGCCGCGTCAGCAAGTTTCTAGGCATGATGGTCGCGCAAAATGGTGACGGAGGCTACAATACTCGATCAGGAGGAGGTGATTGGCGATCTCCTGCGTACCAACGGACTTATGGATGCAAACTCGGTGCGCGCGTTGATTGGTGACGACTGCTATGACGAGAATCTTGACGGAGTAGCGATGCTTGGAGCGTCAAACAAGCGGTCTGGCCCAACGATACGCGTGTTCCAGTCACTCGTGGGCAGCTTGCTAAGGGTTGCGCGCTGCAAAAAGCCCGACATCGCCTTGTGCGGTGCATAAGATCACGCGCCAGACACACGCGCCGCGCTTGCATGATTGGATGCTTGCGAAGTGAATCGTTCGGTATGTGAAGGGCACAGTAAGCTTGAAGGTCACGATGTCGCCGGCGCAAAACCGTGACCAAAAAATTGTCTCGACGGGAAGCGTTTAGCGACGCTGATTCTGCGGTCGATAAGGCCGACAGGAATTCGATGACCAGCAGCGTGCTGCGTCTTCACGGCATTGCAGTGAGTTGAGGCGCGCATAAACATGGCGGCGTGTCTCTGTCAATGATGAAGGCCGATTTCGTCGCTGTCTCGGAATTGAAGCGCGAAGTGCTTGGCCTCCGCGAGATGCTGAGCAAGATTGGTATTGCACCGGCTGTTCCTATGCCGCTTCAAATCGACAATATAACGGCAAGCAGCCAGATGGCGGGCGAGGCATCGGCACTAAAGGCAAAGCACGTTGATGTTCACCTACTGTCGGTCAAAGACCTTGGCCGCGTCAGCAAGTTTCTAGGCATGATGGTCGCGCAAAATGGTGACGGAGGCTACAATCTCGATCAGGAGGAGGTGATTGGCGATCTCCTGCGTACCAACGGACTTATGGATGCAAACTCGGTGCGTGCGTTGATTGGTGACGACTGCTATGACGAGAATCTTGACGGAGTAGCGATGCTTGGAGCGTCAAACAAGCGGTCTGGTCCAACGATACGCGTGTTCCAGTCACTCGTGGGCAGCTTGCTAAGGATTGCGCGCTGCAAAAAGCCCGACATAGCCTTGTGCGGTGCATAAGATCACGCGCCAGACACACGCGCCGCGCTTGCATGATTAGATGCTTGCGAAGTGAGTCGTTCGGTATGTGAAGGGCACAGTAAGCTTGAAGGTCACGATGTCGCCGGCGCAAAACCGTGACCAAAAAATTGTCTCGACGGGAAGCGTTTAGCGACGCTGATTCTGCGGTCGATAAGGCCGACAGGAATTCGATGACCAGCAGCGTGCTGCGTCTTCACGGCATGGCAGTGAGTTGAGGCGCGCATAAACATGGCGGCGTGTCTCTGTCAATGATGAAGGCCGATTTCGTCGCTGTCTCGGAATTGAAGCGCGGAGTGCTTGGCCTCCGCAAGATGCTGAGCAAGATTGGTATTGCACCGGCTGTTCCTATGCAGCTTCACATCGACAATATAACGGCAAGCAGCCAGATGGCGGGCAAGGCATCGTCACTAAAGGCAAAGCACGTTAATATGCTCCCAACGTTTCTATGAGTTTCCACTCTGTAGCGTTATTGTTGCTTGCTACCTAAAGTCGGAGCTGGAGTTGTGACATGATGACGAATGCATTCGGCTACACGAGACTTGCGGCGCTTCTTGAGATCATTTGAGTCGTAAAAAAGCAGAGCAAGGACGAGCAAGGACGGAGGGACGGAAGCGTCGGTAAAAGGCGTGCAAGGACGAAGGGACATAAGGGTTGTTCAAGGTCGTAAATGGAGAGAAGAAGCGAGAGGATAAATTGCAAGGCGCACTCGAAGAGGAGTGGTGGAAGTTGAGCGTGGAATATGGTGCTAGAAGGTGAATACAGAAGATGGGGTCGGATTTGTGGTGTCGCGGAAGGACACGTGAGTATGCGATTGGCTCCGATAGTTACATTTGTCATGCATAGTCTGCGTAGTAGTTAGTGAGGTGAGGTTGCCGCCACTCATTGTGGAATGGTTGTAGCAGAGGGCGTAGAACACAAGGTAGCTAGGAGACTATAACATGCTAATGCAAAATCGAACTATCTAACTACTAACGACGTGCTTACAGAATACACTGCTGCGCTGCACACAGATTTGATGCCTGCTCTAAATACGTGCTTAGCAGAGCTACCTACTATCGGTACTTATTTTGGCACATCTGCTCTACCGTTGTGCTGATATCGATTTAGCGCCATTAGACGATGACCTTGACTGTAACGGGGTTAAGCAAAGGTGTGTATTGTACATACACACCTGCCACACCATTGTGTTGTGGCTGTACCTTGGGTACAGTGGTAGGTTGATGTGACCGTACCTAAGATATGAAGGGTCGCATCAAGCAGAGAGCTACGTGGTCACTATACTTAAATAAGTATTGTGACTATGCATATTTACACATTAACGGGCTACAGAGCCAGATATATAATGATTAGCATTAAGTATAGGATAAATGCTTCTATATTTAGTGCTAGAAGATATACATTATAATAAACCAGTTTAAAAACTGCTCGGAAAAGTATACGTGCTAGAGCGTCATAGTTATTTATGAAAGAGTTTGCATCTTTAATACTAGTCTCTTGGAGACATGGTTATTTACAACCAAAAGACATAAGCTTGTTAAGCGAGCCTTGAGATGGTTGAGGACCCTAAGACGTAGAGGCTCTCTGAGCTTGTCTTTTTCTGCACAAAGTGAATACGTAGCTTTGCTACAGTAGCCTGACTACTTCTTCTGCACATAGTGAATCTGCACATAGTGCATCTGCACATAGTGCATAAGTAGATTTGCTACAGTACTCTGCTACACCTGGTCGCACTTGCAGTCAATTCGCACCTGGTTTTGCGACAACTTCTCTGTGTGAGAATGGACATCGATGAGATGTCAGCGGTTGCCCTGTCACAGGTACAACAGGAAGGGTTGCAGAAGTTGCTCCCTATCCTTGGCCCTAAGGGCGTGGAGTGCCTCATCGTTCAAGGCGAAGAAGAGGTTAACAAGCGTATTCGTATGGCTGAAGTGTATAATAACGCTCTAGTCGAGCATGTAAAAGGCACAGATGTCTTCTTCTGGCCCTCGCCCATGGCGACTATGGCGCAATAAATGGTCCGCAGACCAAAACCCATACATGTGAAAGTCGATAAAGTCGACGGCAAAGAAGGCGACAGCCTTATGCTGTAATTCCTACAGGTTGAGTCGGCTATGTTTATAGCCGAAATCGCTTATGAACCGTACCGTGTTGGCCCTGCCACGGGTAAGTTGGGTGGATTAGCATAAGTGATGGGCGCTCACATACTATGTATGCGTAACTACAAGATTCATTCCCCACATGGGACGATGTGAAAGTTCAGATGACCCGGCAGTATGCACCGCCAAACCAAGCACACCGTAATCAGTCGCGGTTTTTGGCGTGTCGCCAAGGCAAGCGTGAGCTTGCGGCATTTGAGCAAGAGTTGAGAACTCTCATTGCTGCCATGGTGATAGACCCTCTGCCTGAGGCAGTGACCGTCACAGTCTTTATGGAGGGCCTCCGAGTAGGCGTTGCCAGCACGTAAATCTTCCGGGTAAGCCCGTCCTCGTTCGAGGAAGCTTTTGAAGCGGCATAAAATTCCGAGGCCAACTTTAAGGCTGCTAGGCCTGCCAATTACAGCTACTCGTCTTATGGGTCTGTTCCCATGGACTATAGTCAAGTGAAGGAAGAAGCTAAGCTTCAACATGCGAAACAGCAAAGGTACGCGGATGCTATATCTGCAAGAGCACAGAAAATTTTATAGCAAAATGCTCTGCGGGAAAGGCGTATTTTGCCTCGAAAGGCGGATCGAGATTGTAGCCTCCGTCTCCGTTAAGCGTGACCCTCAAACTTATGTAGTGAAGTGGGCTTTTTAAATTGCGTAATGAGACCTAATGCCACTCACTGTGCCGGACTACCGAATGTCGGAGCGGGTATTCCGATGCCGCGTATAGACCTTCTCTCACCTTGTGTACCCGTCGGCTGGCGGGTTGTACTCTTCTGAGGACTTGGTTGAGATGTGATGTTGGCCTTAAGAGAGGTCGACCTTGGGGTGCCTCGAGTGGATATACTTTACTCGATAGGCGAGTATGTGGTTGCTCGGTCGGCTAGGTCGAGGTTGGACTTATAACCAAATTCTTCAGGGGAGATTCTCAACCCTGGCCTTTTCCTTCCTTTTCCTTGATATCTCAGGGGTATTAACCGCCTGGCTTTACTTGCTCCCGAACCACTAGGGTAGGGAGACCGCTTCCGATAGTCCATCCATAAAAGACTGTGACGTTCACTGCCGCAGGCAGACGGTCTATGACCATGGCATCAATGAGAGTTCTCAACTCTTGCACATATGCCGCAAGCTCACGCTTAACTTGTCGACACGCCAAAAATTGCGACCGATTTGGTGAGCTTGGTTTGGCAGTGTATACCGCCGGTTCATCTGAGCTTTCAGATCGTCCAATGTGGGAAACGCATCTTGCAGTGATGCGCCGCATGTGAATGTCCATTGCTTTGCTAAGCAGCCCAGTAGGCTTGGGGTGCTCTAATGGGGATGAACTGAGCTTTGTTGAACATCTAGGATGTTGAAGTAAACAGGTCTCAGCCACAAAGAGATGCAAACTCTCGAAAATGGAGCGAAAATGCATGCCAGGCTTGCTAATCATCGAAGGGACGATTAAGGACTTTGATAAGCCATGGACAAAGACAAAGTTCATTACGTCAGCAAATACATTCGAGATCGACGATGCAATACACTCCTTATCTTTATGGTCGATTGCAACTCCTGCAGATGACGCTTTCCATTGTATTCCAGTGCTTGTCATTGTTAATAATTGATACAAGTCGTTTTTTATTTCTATTGTCCTTAAAATCTACAGGAAAACGTGCTGTATTGATTATAAAAGGGTATAATTGTGTGACGATTATTATGCATTTGTCTATTTATCATATTTCTTACGCTTCATAGCGCATTAAACTCACTCTCAAAGTCACTGTCATTAATTTCTTCATAAATCCATTCATCTGTCTCCATTCCACCAGCATCCATTGTAAATAAATCACCTTCTGCTTAGTTTTGATAATACATAAGTATACCAATACACCAAATGAGTCATAAACCCTTCCGCCACATCATGCAGTATCAATCAGAATAATCTTTTCTCGTACCGCTACAAGTCTCCCAGTCCAGAATGTAACGAGATTACACGAAGGTGTGTGAATTACATACACACCTGCTACACTAATGTGGTGTGGCTGTACCTTGGGTTTAAAGTAGGTGATGTGACCGTTCTTGAAGTACGAAGGGTCGCATCGTGGCAGAGAGCCACGTGGGTACTATACTTAAATAAGTATTGTGACTATGCATATTTACACATTAACGGGCTACAGAGACAGATAAATAATGATTAGCATTAAGTATAGGATAAATGCTTCTATATTTAGTGCTAGAAGATATACATTATAATAAACCAGTTTAAAAACTGCTCGGAAAAGTATACGTGCTAGAGCGTCATAGTTATTTATGAAAGAGTTTGCATCTTTGATACTAGTCTCTTGGAGACATGGTTATTTACAACCATGAGACATAAGCTTGTTAAGCGAGCCTTGAAAGGGTTGAGGACCCTAAGACGTAGAAGCTCTCTGAGCTTGTCTTTTTCTGCACAAAGTGAATACGTAGCTTTGCTACAGTAGCCTGACTACTTCTTCTGCACATAGTGCATCTGCACATAGTGCATAAGTAGATTTGCTACAGTACTCTGCTACACCTGGTCGCACTTGCAGTCAATTTTGCACCTGGTTTTGCGACAACTTCTCTGTGTGAGAATGGACATCGAGATGGACATGAGATGTCAGCGGTTGCCCTGTCACAGGCACAACAGGAAGGGTTGCAGAAGCTGCTCCCTATCCTTGGCCCTAAGGGCGTGGAGTGCCTCATCGTTCAAGGCGAAGAAGAGGTTAACAAGCGTATTCGTATGGCTGAAGTGTATAATAACGCTCTAGTCGAGCATGTAAAGGCACAGATGTCTTCTTCTGGCCCTCGCCCATGGCGACTATGGCGCAATAAATGG